AAATCTTAAATTTTTTTTTGAAATTTAAAAATTCAAAAAAGGGAAAAAAAAAAAATATAAGAGGGGCCTTGAGACGTGAAATAATGACTAGAGAAAAGTCATTTTTTGTGGGGCCCGGGAAAGTCTTTCTTTTTAATTTTTGGACCCCCATTCGGAAATTGCATTTTTTTGAAAATTTTTGTGAAATTGGGGAAAATTGCTAAAATCTGACCACTGTACTGGATAGTTTAGTTTTATAAAAAGGGTTGGGTTTTTTGCACCCAATTTGATAGAAAAAATGGAAATTCTAAACGAAATAATTTTATTTTTTTGTTTACTAGTACAGCGAAAAATTGGGGCCCAAAATTGGGGGTCAAAGTGGGCCCAAAAACGCCGATGCCCTAAAAATCGCCGAGACCGGGTAACTTTCGAGAGCATAATTCCGTAAGTTTTTATCAAATTTCAAACTTTTGGGGGTCTTTATGATGGGGAAAAAGGGATTCTCAAATTTTTTCATAAGAGAAAAAAATTTTTTTTTTTTTTAAATTTTTGGGCCGCCCCCTTGAAAACGATTTTGGGAGGGGGCCCCTGTCGACCCTAAAAGGGTTAAAGCCAGAAAAAGGGTTTGGGTTTGAGAGTTTTTAAGAATCGTATTTGGGCATACACAGTTTTAAAAGGGCCTGTTCGGAAAAAAAATTGCCAAACAGGACCAAACGTACTCAGGGGGAAAAAGGCCCCCCCCCCGGGACACAGTGTCTAAACGTCTTTGGGGTTTTTGCATTTTCCAATAAAGGAAAGGGTTCTTTTATTCTTCTTTTAGAAGAGTATTACATGCACAATATATAAATTTCATGTACTACTCAAACTATTGTGAAATGTACCCCCTTCCTTTGTGTGTAGGAAAAAAGGGTATATTTTGTGGAAAAAAATTTTTTTTTTAAATATTTTTGGGGTGTTTTGGGGCATGGATTAATTTGACCCCCAAATTTTTTCTTAGGGGGAAAATTCATTCGCATACCGATCATTTCGCAAAACCCAATGGCCCCTTGCACGGTTTAAAAGTCGCTATGGGGGGGGGTCCACTGTAAAATATGCCGAGTTAAAAAGCTCCCATAGTGAAAAATTTATAGGGGAAAGTACACTCATTATTTACCTTTAAAAAATTTTAAAAAGTTTTTAAATGGGGGTTTGAAAGGTGAAAAGTATTTATTTGAAAAAGTCAGGGGGTGGGTGGGGTATTTTGGGGAAGCCACCCCCGGGGCCACCCCACCCATATGAAAAAACGAACAGACGATTGTCGGGTTAGGTTTCAAAAACCATTCATACAAACGCCTTAGATTGGGGTACAAATTGTCTCCACAGGGGTACAGTAGACAAAATAAAGCCCAAACCATTTTCCATTCTAAATGAAATTTTTTTTAAAAGGGAAATTTGAAGCTCTCAAAAAAATTACATCATAATAAAAAAAAAGCACTAAACCAAAAAGGGATCATGATTTGCTATAATAGAGTGAAGGCATATAAAAAAATATTTATTTTACATTTACCCCCCCCAGGTTTAAACTAGAGAAAACGTAATTTTTTTTCCCGACACTCCTGCAAAGTAAATTTGTAAACAAATCCCAATTTATTTCAATTTTTTTTTTTGGTGGATGTTTATAAAGTTATATGCTAGTAAAGTGTTTCTTTTATAATTTTGAAGAAAATATCATAGATTTGGTTAATGAAAAGGGTCTATATTAACTTTAAAAAAAAGACATTTAATGTGCCCCAAAGAGATTATTTTTAAATAGTAAAAAACGTATTACTATGGGGGTCGGAGTCAGAGACTCTTAGTGATTTTTAAAGTGTACCTGCTGCCACACAGTGTTAAGTATATTTTGACACAGGTACACAAAAAGCAAAAATTTTCAAATACCCTATAAATAAAGCAATAACTTTTAAACATTTGAAATTTTTGGAAAATTTCCCGACCTTTAAAAATATTCTCAAAAGGAGAATGTAAAAAAAACGGGGGGGATGCACCCTAAATTTGGGAAAAAACCCCTTGCTGTAAAAAAAATTTTGGTTTTAATTTAAATCACTGTATTAGCGGGAAAGGGCCCTAAAGCGGGGGGCCCCACTGTAAATAAACAAACTTTTTAGTTTCAAAAATCTGCCATGCTCAACTGAAAAAAAAACGGGTTTTTGGGACTTTAAAAATTTTTTTAGTGACCCCCCATAAAGTATTGCTTTTTCTATTTTGTTTCTTAAAAACTCCTCTTGTATAAGTCGGGGTAATGGCATTAATATCTGTAGGGACCTAAAAATTTATTTTCAATTGACAAAATTTTTATATCATCCCATTTTTACCTTATACAACACACAGGGCCCTTTAACCCAAATACAAACTCTGTTTTGGGCCCCTTTTTTCAGAAACATTTTCAAGTGATAATAAAAAAATTCTTATTGTTGCTTTTTAAAGTATACAGGTCCTCCTCACAAATCCGGCATCATTGGGACCTGTTTTGGGGCCGGGTTACTGAGTTTGCTGAATTACAAAAAGTGGGTTTGGTTAGAAATACACTTAATAAAATTAAAACCCAACCTTTACTTACACAGTTCATTGAACATCGGCAAAAAACGAACATTTCCACTACTTTTAGGCTCAATTTCAAGGTACTTTTCGTAAAGAAAGCAATAAAAAATCATGTCTATTTCTGTAAAAATATTTTCCCATTCTATCAAATGAGTCCAAAAAAATGAGAATACAACCATAAAAAACCATACGAAAATATACTGCAAAGAGGCGGCTAAGGGCCGAGAGGTGAACTCCCTTATTTATCGTCCGTCTTTTTATTTTTTGTGTACGTTAAAAAAGAAATCTTTCCATCATACATTGCCCAAGTTTCAATGAGATATCCCAACAAACAACCGAGAAAAAAAAAATTTACCAAAAATCATATATGGCAAGCCCAAGCTGGGTACGGGAAAAAAGTCACGTGTCTGACTTTTCTGGGTTATCCTAGGTTCTCTATACATACGCTGCTATGTATGATAATCTATGTAACTGTATTTGTGTATACCTAAATTTAAACTTATTTACTTCTAGTCGTCAACTGAGTACAAGAAACCGCCCATTCACTTATTTCAACTACCCAATAAAGTGTCAAAAATTGGCAATTTGGCCGATTCACACAAATTTCAACAGATGCCAATTCAAAATAGTGTCCAGAATAAACAATGTAGACATTCCTGGGACTAAAAAACATTTCTCTGTTCATTATCATGGCTTACAGGCCCCTCTTATATTACTCTTGTTTACCATTTTGGGAATTTTTTTTTCACAAAAAAAAAAAAAATAGAAGATTTACTGTCATGCGACTACTGGGATTATTGTAATAATTGTATAAATAATGTCAATCCATTCTTTACTCCGTACTGGAATTTGGACTGGCAGGCGGACAGGTATTTTTACTCTTGAGCTTCGCTAAAGAATAGAACATTTTCGCTACTGTGAGTGCAATTTCAAGGTAATTTTCATCATGAAGAAATCCAAAATCATAACTATTTCTGTAATATATCTTTCATTCTATCAAATGAGACTGGAAAAAAATGAGAATACGTATAAACCATAACAACATACCAAAAATATACCGCTAGCGGCCAGCTAATGGCTGAGAAGTGAACTCCGCTATTTATTGGTCTGATGTCTTTCATTTTTTGTTTTGGGGTTTAAAAACAAAAAAAAAATTACCAAAAAACCCAAAAATATTTTAAATTCAACTTTTTCCTTGGGGTTTTTTGCCCAGGATGCCCCCCACTCGAAAATTTCTCAAGGAAAATCAGGAATTTTCCATTAAAATTAACCAAAAATTTTTTGAAATTTTCAATTCTATAATGAACTGATAAGGCTGTTCTAGGAAGAAAATACAAAAGACCGCATACCAGGAGGATAAGGCACTCAGGAAGTGTCTCATCAGTCATTGCTGCATCTTCAATAAAGGTAATGCATTAATTCTTCTTTAGTACATCCAATATATATTGAAGTATACTCAACACTTGTGCATGAATCTTCTTTTGTTTAGAAAATGTCTATTTATGTGGTAAAATTTTGTTTCATACTTTGGTCTCTGCAACGGATATTTTATTTCCATTATTTCTTAGGGAAAATTCATTCCATACCGAACATTTCGCTAACAACCAGCCCTCTTGCACGGATTAAGGCCGCTACTGGCGGGGTCCACTTATTTACCAAAAATCATATATGGCTAACCCAAGCCAGGTACTAAAAATAAGCCACGTTGACTTTTTTGGGGTTATCGTAGGTTCTCTACACATATGCTGCTATGTGTGATAATCTATAGAGAGAAAATAACTTTTTTGTTTCATGTTTATGGTGGAGTACGAGTGTATTTTCATAGCCTGTGCTATACTCCGTTTTCTCTAATATAAGCCATATTATTCATTCTGGAGTATTTAACATGTTTTATGTTATTTATTGTTTCTTATGTCATATTAGATCAATTGTGATAGCAAATAAGCTGTAGTGTTGATATTAGCATAATAATAAAGCATATTCTCCTGCTTCATGAGACTGAGCTCATGACAACCGACAGTGGCTTCAAAGCCACCTTATCTTTAATGGATAATGTACTGTGTAGGTGCTTTACATAATGAAAGCATTCTTTTATTCTTTGGAACCATGGCTGGGGCTAAAAGAAAAGCGGGTTAAAACAATAAATGGAGAAAAAGAAATTGGAATGACTAGTAGCAAGTAACACCACAAACCAGTCCCCAGCAGGTTGGTGTGGCCCGACCCTGGAAATTTTAAATATGCTAGCCAAAATTAGTGCCGAATAATAAAGGGAACCGAATAACTGATTGCTGGATTTGTGATGGCAGACCTGTACTTTATATAGAATATATTTTTTCATAAAATGCTGATGCACATTTTTTCATACAGTAAATGATCCTTGCTGTAATTGGCAACCCTCTTTTCTCTATTCCTTATTTTATCATAATTTTTGTTTACTTCTACAGTGAGCAAAAAAGAAGATTAAAAGCAGAAAAGAAGCACAGGAAAAAGCAGAAAAGGAATCTGGTAAAGCTGACCAGGTCACTCCATCAGCCAGCCAAAGAAGGTAAGAATGTGAATCTGTTTAATGAGTTCACATGAAAATACAACATAATTTTTAGCTATTGACTGATATTGTAGACAAAATTATCTTTTAGAGCATTGTTAGGTGGCCTTAAATAAAAAGTTATTCCAGTCTGAACACTAGTTTTGGAGATTTTTACTTATAGCATGTTTTTTTGACCTATTGTATACATGTTTGTGCATGGAGCATTGTTTACTGCTTGATTTGGTTCATTTCATATGAATTTTTCTAGCCTAAGTTAGTATATTATCCCTCATTTGCTCTCTCTGGTGTTCTCAGAAATAACTTTTTTACAATTTGGGATTTTTATGACCTTTAATCTTGTAAGTAAAGCTAAATAATAACAATAATTTCAGGTGAATGAAGAAGAAATTAGTGCTAATGAGTATCTGAAGTTGAGGATACAGTCTATTCAGCAACAGAAAGATGAAGGCCATGTTGTGTACCACACAAGTTTCACGGGGTCCATCTCCCTTACTGAGTTTTTGAGAACTTATGAAAGTTTGGGACAGGGAGAAGAAGGAAAGGAAGAATTGTCACTGGCTGGCAGAGTTCATGCCATTCGAGAAAGTAGTCAGAAGCTTCGGTTTTACGATTTAAGAGGAGAAGGCGTAAAGTTGCAGGTTAGATCCAGAAATTTATAAAGCACACTAACATTTTGCATTTGCTGTGTTTTATATCATAAAACTGTATAGCATATTATCATAGGTAGGAGTTGTATAGTTCTTGGGGAATATTTGTGCATCTGTATTCAAGACATTCCTTGAAATTGCTAACTAAGACAATTTGGAATTTGTTTCGAACTAATTCTCTTTTGCTATGTGAGGTGAATAGTTTGTCATTCATGCTTTGAAGACTACTATCCCCAAAGTTTAGTAGGTAGCTCTTCTCTTTTCCTAACACATGGTCACCCTATGGTAGTGGAACTTGACTGTCTTCATACTGGGTGGATTTCCTACCTGAAGTAAACCTAGAGGATGTTCTGGGGTCAGCACCCCCACGGCCCAGTCTTTGACCAGGCCTCCCGGTGAATCAGGGCCTGATCAACCAGGCTGTTACTGCTGGCTGCACATAGTCCACTGTACAAACCACAGCCTGGCTGATCGGGTAATGACTTTAGGTATCTCTCCAACTCCCTCTGGAAGGCAGCCTGGGGTCTACTGGTAATTTCCCTTTTGCCTGGTGGGAGGCTGTTGAACAGTCTTAGTATACCAATGGCACCCCTACTCTTCATTGGGGGGCATGTTGCACCATCTGCCCAGTCTTTTGTTTTCTTAGGGAGCAATTTATGCATGCACATTTGCTACCAGTCCCTCTAGGATTTTCCAGGTGTAGATTATGATGTATCTTTCTCGCCTGTGCTCCAGTGAGTACAGGTTGAGTGATTCCAAGTGTTCCCAATAATTAAGGTGTTTGACGGAACTTGTGTGTGCAGTAGAGGAACTCTTTACATTCTCTAGATCTGCAGTTTCACCTGCCTTGAATGGAGCTGTTGGTGTACAGCAGTATTCCAGCCTTGAGAAAACGAGTGATTTAAAAAGGATCATCATTGACTTGTCATCCCATGTTTTGAAGGTTCTCATTATCCATTCTATAATTTTCCTTGCATATATGATAGTGACACTGTTGTGATCCTTGAAGGTGATATCCTCTGACATTAACTCTCCTAAGTACTTCACACTACTTTTCCACTCTATTGTGTGATAAGAGTTTGTAGTGGGATTGTCGTAACTACTATGGTTTATTGTATGAGGTCTGTACCTCCTGATCCCTTTTAACCCTTTGACTGTTTCAGGCCCCTCTCTGAAACTTGTCATTCTATGTCGCCAAATATTCGAAAAAAAAAAATTATTTTTTCTTATGAAAATGTTAGGAATATTTTTCTGAGTGTTTTAAATCTAAAAAAAAAAATTTGCCATCAGTACTTACCGAGATATAGAGCCGCAAAGTTTGCAGAAAGTGACGTGCGTACGGCAACAGCGGCGACTGCCGCCCACCCGGTATTCTTTTATTTACTCTAATTCAAAGGTTTCTTGTATTTTTCAATATTTTTCTGTTCCAGGTAACTTATGTGGCCTGTGAGACCAATGTAAGGTGCATTGTTCAAATATACACTCATTTTTACAACACAATAACAGAACAAACTTTATCACTATTAGTTTGTGTATACACTTTGTTTACACAAACAAACATACAAAACAATGTTTATTACTATTGTTCCATAATATATATACATATGTTACAGTCACGCAAAAACTTCCTAGAACTGCTGCAGCTTGTGGAACTCTTCGAAACATGGGTATATGCAGAGGGCACTTGACACCCCCTCACACATAAAACGATTCTCTGCGTTTTTGGCGTTTTTGGGTATGTGAAAAATACATAACACCCCCTACT